CTAGTGGATCTGTTCCTTTACATAGCAGCACAGACATCATTGTCAGTAAGACTCTGAGCATGCGGAATGAGTTAGCTGATATTATTAATTAAATTTATTATTATTTACATTGCAGTCTGAACCCCAGCTCCTGTGAACCCCAGTCCAGGGCTAGGAGTCCATTGTGCATAAGGGAAGAGAGTCTTTAAGACTCTCATGCTCATCTGTTACAAAGAATTTTGCATATGGTATTCTTTATAATAACGAGCATAGTTCCTGAATATCAGAAGAAAAGGCCTCTCTCTTCCCCATTTGCTGAAAGTCATGTTATATTAGAAAAAATATATTTTAAAGGGTTGTTTACCAACAAGGACAGATCCAGCCAACAACTGGCTTTTGTACTACTTAGTTCAGTATGGAGCTAAAAACTGCATCCATAACTTTGCAGGTGCCAGTTTTTGGGTCTTCTCTGAATTATGTGGGATGATGAAGGGTTTCACATCTAGATAGCATAATGAATGGGTGCTTGACAGATCAAACAAATTCTAAGATATCCATGATAATTCATATGAGCCACCCACCTGGGTACATAGGAAGTTGTCTGTCTGCTGAGAGGTCAGGTTATGCATGAATCCTACAGCCGTGCAAGAAAACCTAGGCCATGTTCTTCACAAATTCCAGATGATTTTTGTGGCACAGAGCCAGCAGTTAGGCAGAAGATGTATACCCAGCTGTGTGTCTGCTCTACTATTCTGTTACTTGTTAGTAGTTACTGTCTGTCCATGGTAAAACATTTGTCTACCTATTATGTTATTAGTAGGCCTAGTAGAGTTGAGAAAATGGGTCACAGCATGTGAAAAATTCTTTGTTCTCTTTCTAGGTTTTTCACTGGAAATGATTAGTTCAGGGCAGTGAAAAGAAAATTTGCCTGCTTCTGTGTAATTTTGCCACTTTCATAGACATCTGAGTTGTGTAACTGGAAAATTCAGAACTCAGATATAGCTACTAAGTATTCATTTTATTTGCAGAACAAGAAGTGAATCAGCAGAAGTTCCACCAAATTTATAGCCATGTCATCTTATACTGATCCCATTTTCCATTTTTTTTCTTTTTAAATTTAGCATCATCTTGTATACAAAGTATTGTTATCACGGTTTTCTCAATCTAAAAACAGTTTGCTTATTCCTTTCTTTAGGTACCACCTTTCTTTAGGTACCATCCAGCCATTCAGGTGTCTACTAATAAACTTCTGCGTATTTCACTGATGTGCTTTCTCTAGGCTCTATCCAGCCATCTACTAAAATGTCTGCATGTTTCATCTCTGTATTTTCTTTAGGTTTCACTAAGCCTTTCATCTGTCTACTAAAACTTCAGTTCTTTCACTTAGGTACTCACGGTGCTGAGCAGCCAACAAGTTCCTGTACAGTTTAATGGGAGCTGCTGAGTTCTCAGCACTTTGAAAAGCTAAACAATCTATTTAATAAGCTTAATTTTAGGTACAGAATTTTGAAAACCTTGGTCATTGTTAGGACTAAATTGTGCTTTCAGTTATAGCAGTGTAAATCTAGATTGATTCAGTGAGTTTAATTGGAGTTACTCTAGGTTTATCCTGGTCAAAGTGAGAAGAGAATTTAGCCCAGTTTCATTGTGACTTTATAGTAAATTTATGTTAATTTATGTACATTAATTTGGATACCTAAAATTGTAAGGATAGCCTCAACTCCCTCATAATCTCTAATTTATGAATAGATCTATAATTTATTTTATCCCCACTAAATGTTACAGATAATCAGTACATACAATATATATATATATATAATTGACCAAATGCTTTATGATTTTCATGTATTGTGTTAGTTTAAGAATGCACATTCTCATCTATTTCATCTCGCTTTACTCCCTCCCTTTTTGTAAAAGCTAGCATCTTTAAATATAGTTCTGTTCATATTATTATTCTTAAATCATGGTAAGGTCAAAAAGTTTCTTCCATATCACAGACTGGGTAAAATATAGCTCTCCATTAACCTAAGCAAAAGTACCTGAGGTTGCATGGGTATGACTGAGAGGAAAATTAGGCCTGCTGTGTGTATGGGTCTTTAGCTTTCTCAAATTCCAATTCCTATTCTTCGCTTGCTTAATCTGTAGCAGCAAATATCCAAATCATTTGCTTACATTACCAAACTTCCTGCACAACTCAGAAGTCAAATGTTTCCATGCCCACAATTAACAAAAGTATCATGTATTTTAACTGTGCTGTTTTGTATCTGCTCTCTATTCAATTAACCTTTTCTGCTGTTTTACAAAAGTGACAATAGTGACTCCAGATTTAAAATAGCGTTCAGTTTTCAGTTAAAGTAGAGCGTACATTTGTTTGTTAGACATGAGACTATATTGAACAGAACTAAAATCACTATATGTGTAGGTTGAATTTTGGAGGAAGTCAGATATGAATTCCTTCAGTAGTTAGGAGACTGAATGACTTTTAAAAAATCAGTTTAGAGTTGTTTTTGTGAAGCATTCTTGTTTAGAAATTATTAAATTGTAACAGTTCAAACTTTCTAGAGATGTAGATCGAAACAAAATCTCAAATCGGCTAATAGCTATCTTTATCTCTAAATAATATAGGTCTACTTTATGAGATATATATTTATTTGTCATGAAAATTAATATAGAAAAGATTAGATGTCAAGAGCTAATGTACAAATTTTACACAAGAAAACACTCCTAGTTTCAGATAGGCACAGGTGAAAATAGGTTGTTAGAGAGGATGTGGCTCCCTAGTAGAGGTCCAGGTGCCGCAGAAGCAGGGTAGGTGCTCCAATATAGCTCAGTGGATACACCTTCTCCAGAAGCACACCTCCTAAGGTGTACAGAATGGGGGTTCTGAGATCTGTAATGAGACTCCCCTCCTGTACATCTTGGGAGCTGCACAGCTTTTCTGCTATCCCATCAGCATACTGTGGAAGCCATGTGGAACCCAGCATCATAGAAAATGTAATACATATGGCACATAAAATTATCTGTGCCTATCCAATTCTAAAACTTTCAGGGCTCCCTATGTGGTATTTCTTCTTTTAAAAAAGAAGAAAATACCAACACAGAAACCTTTATTAACTTAACATTAAGGTTGCTAAAGTAATAATTATAATTTTTCAGTAAAATACATAACTGCAATGTTACCATTTTTAAAAAAACCTTAAGAATTAAGGGGCAGATTGTGGAAGACCCTCTCTTGTGTGCACAGGATGTAAGGGGGAAAGAGTAAGACCACACCCACCCACCTCTGAGCAACCTCCATGCATCTTGTAACAAATTATTTACCCCAGAACCAATTCTAAGCCCTCTGGGGCTCCTCCAGGAGCTGCACAGCTACAGACCACCTCATTACACAGGACTCTGCCTAAAGGTACAGTCTAGCTGTAGAAGATCAAGGATTATATATTTAAATAGGCATTGCTAATGTATGTGTACCATTGAAAGAGTACGTATGCATGAATATGACTTGTAGGCCAAAGTTAAGGTGGTCACATTTTCACATGTGAATACGGTCAGAAACTGAATCTGAAGGCAATATTTATTACCTTTCATGTTCATTCCCCCACTTTGTAATGTTTGAAGTTGTTCTGCTGTTGATCCTGTATTATCTGTTTTGTGGAAGAATTATATTAATGACTTCAGCAACCTTTCATCCAAGTTATTAGTGTTTTATTGGGAAATATATTGCATCATTTGCTTTCTGTAGCTCTGTTAGCTTAGTGAATTTCTTTACAAAATCAAATGAGACAGTTTCAATATTTCCCGATAACAGAGAAGTCACATCTATCTACCTTCATTAAAGTGCCATGCTATGTAGTTAAATGAGCTGTTAGTTACCATAAAACCATTTATAATAGTTCCTGAAGAGGAGGAAACAGGTTGTTATATTGGGCCAATTTAGAAAAAGATGCAAATTGTATTTAACTTTATAAAGTTAAATAAAATTTTATAAAGTTAAAGATGCACATTTTATTTAACATGTATAGGGTACAGTAGAACTTCAGTTATAAACCCTTCGGGAATGGAGGTTGTTTGTAACTCTCAAATGTTCGTTAACTCTGAACAAAACATTATAGTGGTTCTTTCAAAAGTTTACAAATGAATATTGACTTAATACAGCTTTGAAACTTTACTGTACAGATGAAAAATGCTGCTTTCTTTTTTTTAGTAGTTTATTTAAAATAGTACTGTACTGTATTTGTCTTTTTTTTTGGTCTCTCCTGCTGCCTGATTGTGTACTTACAGTTCCAAATGAGGTGTGTGGTTGACTGGTCAGTTCGTAACTCTGGTGCTTATAACTCTGAGGGTCTACTGTATGTCTGTATATCTTGAAGCCATAATTATATCTAGTTTGTTATAGCCTCTCAACAAGTACACAGGTAAAAATTATATTTTTCTACTAAAACCCATTTAAAACACTAATACGTATGGTCTATTTTCACCAGAGACTGAGCTCTGTGTGTCTTCTATTCAACAACTAAAATTCAAATACAGTTATTAGCTAACGAAAAATACTGTACTGTTGTAGAAAGTGCCTTTTATCTTGCCACTAGGGTCTCCTCACAATCATGAATATTGTCACTAGCCCTTAATATCAATATTTTAATGGCACTTTCATACTTTTCCAGGTTTTATTATTATTATTTATTTATTCATGGCATAGTATATAAATTAACATTTTAAAATAACAGTGCAATTGCTAAAATAGATTATAATTCTTAGGAAATGAAGTATTCATACCAAAGAGTGGGGCCGTTATTTAGGGTTTATCAAATGAAAACCAAGTGAACTGATAATGATTCAGTACTTGAAGTGTTACCTGTATATGGAAAAAACCTGAGTTGCTTAATCCCTTCATTTTGGATTAATCTTCTAATGCAGGTGTGTGTGTATAGTGGTGGTTTATTAAACTGTGGTATGTCTTGCGTGTCTGAAATGGTTTAGTTATGCTGAATGTATATGTGGTACGCATTTTACTTGCAGACATGAACGTCAGCGAATCGACATCCTCTTCAGAAGGTCAGATATGTGGTTGACCTTGATTTCATTTTTTGTTCTTTTGTATTCACTGTGGATTACATCTCTAACAAACAGAACCACTTAAAAAACTCTCATATAAATCCATATTTTAATAATAGATCACAGTTCACATCCCATTATTTTATTTATTTATTTATTTTACTTGCCTGGAGCATTAAGGTTTACCATTTCAGCTACTGAATTGCTCAACGCTTTATTCATCATTTTGAAGTTTCCATTACGAGTGTTTCCAACTATCATGATTTCCCTCTCCCCTCCCCCCTTTTTTTTTTGCAGGTTTCACATTTTCGTTTGTTTGTACTAAAAAGGATAATCTACAGTGCACTCTTTTTCCTTGTATGTTTTTTTTATTCATATTTCTTTTTACAGATGAAGATGACACCGCTTCAGTTAATACTTCACAAGCAGGTTAGGATTATTACAGTGCTTTTCCCCTTCCTTCTTAGAAAAAGCTAGACTAGAAAAAAATAGGTCCTGATTCTGCAGTTTGCACTTAAGCATAATTTCCATCAACACAGAAACTTCTTTAGATACTTTAGGTAAAATTCACCTCCCCATGCAGTGGGCCAGTACAAGGCTTTTACAGCACTGAAATCCCACTTGTATCTTCTTTTAAGGACTTAAGTGAGATGTCACTATTTCAGAGCAGGTGAAAGGTTAAGCTCAGCTGCTCTGAAAGTCAGGCTCTGTATGCATTCATCTGGATGAATACAGACTGTATTTTTAAGGTTAAAGCTGAACCCAAATTTCAGAATTATAATTAAACTAAATCCTTATGATTTAAAACTAATTATCTTCACCTGGTTGGATGTCACCTTACTTGGGCTGTTTACTGATGCCACTGCTCTACCAGTCAATCAGAAGTTAGGTGGCTTGAATTTTTCAGTGCTGACCACCAGTCAGCTGACAAATAAAAGGCCTTCAAACCACAACCACTGAATGAAAAGCAGCAGTAACAGATGCTGCATAAGGTCCTAGTGCCACCAACTTTGGGGTGTTGCTGAAACCTCATCCTGCCCACACACATGCTTTCCAACCATGTTTTATGTTAATTTGTTTTAAAAGGCGTGCAAACCCTTAATGAAACACAATAATGGAATGCCTAATGATGCACGTCAACTTGTTAAAGTAAGAAATGCTGTGAATTATTTTAATTCCCTTAAGAAATTATCAACTGTTACACAAACCCCCTGAAAATGAAATATTACGGGGGCCAGATCCTCAGCTGAAATCAGTGGAGTTACACTGATTTGTACCAGCTGAGGATCTGGCCCTTAATTCTAAAAAGAAAACTATTATTTTAACCACTTCTAAAAAGAACCCTCAAAATTTCTTTTCCATTATTTCTCTGGATTTTTTTTTCAATCTGAGTCATTATATTGTTAAACTTGGAGATACGGTCCTTTGGGATGAATAATGGACTGAAATGTCTTCTGTTATCTTGAACTACCCCGAATTTTGAGGGAAGTATTGGCCTTGTGGCGTCCTGCTAAAACGTGAGCCTTTGGAAAGGAAGCCTTGCACAGAGATGCGTCTTCCTGTGTTAAACACAGAAACAGAAGAAAGACAATTGAAGTTTAGACTCAGTTATACACTCTTCATATTCCTGTATTGAGATATCTCCACATGATTATGCTCCTAACTTTCTGTTCTACCTCTTCTACTTGTGTACAGTCAATTTTTTTAAAGAACCAGTAAACTCTAAGGTCAATTACCCTGTGATCTCTAAACCGGGATCATCCAGGTTACTCTTTCCTTTCAGATGGGAGTACTCGGTCAGTGGAGAGAAAAGATTCAGGTGAGACCTCCTGAAAAAAAAATAGAAACATTCCAACTCTAACATAGTGCAATTATTATTAATTAATTATTTCTTGGCTCTAATTTACCTTTATTTTATATTACAGTCATTCATATGCCATTAAATCTTAACTTTTCAGTTGGTTTTAAATGTCAAAGAAAAGGGGTTACTTGGGAAAATCTACTTGGAAATTTAGAAATAGACATCTCTCTTAAATGAAATGTGCAGATGGGACTTCAACCCCAGTTAGTTACCTGGAATAGCCGAAATCTGTGAATCTTTTTAATAAAAACCAAACACATGATGACTTTATGTGATCTTCTTGCATAAAGAAATTTTTTATAACTTTTTTGCAGGATCACGTTGTGGTTTATTAGGATTGTAGCTGGTTTCACACTAAAAATTCCAGTACCAAACACTGCCATTTGAAGAATTTTCACTAGTGACCCTTTCCCACTTGTATTTATGTTGTGTTATTGTATGTGTACCAGTATACTATATATACAGCATATTGATAGATACATCTCTCCCTATACATTTGTGTGGCTATGTGCATGTGTATATGTGTGTTTACATGTGAGCAATAACACAATTACATGTGCAGTAGAACTGGATACTGCATACATGGAGTGCATTAAGAGACAAGGCTAAAAGCCTAGTTATTTTAACCATCCTAGAAGTGGAGTTATTTAGTATTTCTGTACCTTCTGAAATGTGTTATAGCCTTTAATAAAACAAAAACATTTGGTTACCTTTTTCCACAGTTGGCTAATGAGCGGTGGCCAATGTAGTTAATATTACATATCTGTGCAATGTTAACTTTCACCAGCCAGCATGATTCCTTCTGTAATAATCCTTTAAACAGTGTAAAAACCCTGCTGACATCTGGTGTGATCTTTTACAACAGTTCCAAAAGGGTCTATGTCTCTATTAGGTTAATGAGATAGGAAGCAGAAACCCCTAACTTAAATCATATTATTTGAAAAGTCTTCATTCTGTAATAAACCTGTTACTGAATAATAAAACAGGTACTGTACATGAAAAGAACCTTTTTATATTAGCAACGAGGCATAACAAGATATCAATTATATTGCAATTTGTTTTGCCTGTTTGTTAATCGTAAGATCAGAGACCGACAGCCTTTGAACACACTGATCCAAATCACAGTGTCATGGTTTTTTTCCATTCAAGAACAATAAGGAGGCATTTCTGACCCAAAGAGAGCAAAGAAATGGCCTTTTGTGGGGATAGACCAGTATTCATGTTCTTCTGAACAGATTGTACTTTCTGACATATATTGCCGGGTGGCCCTAGTTTACTAGCTACATTCATTTCCCCCACTCTGTGCTAGTCCACACTCCTCAGTCTAAAGAAAAGTATATATCATTTTTACTGCACACATTCTAACTCAGAATATGGGACACGTTGTACCGTGTCTGTAGGAGGAGAGGCTGTGGCCCACAAATGTTTTCTTTATTGCTCTCCATGGGGTTTTCCACTGGGAGTCAACTTTGATTCCTGCCAGGGCTCTGAAGGAGTTGTCAGAGAGCAGATAGTCTGGAGACTCAGTATATACATCCTTTCTCACCATTGCGGCCCACTTTTGGCTCAGAATGCCCATTGACTTCAACAGGAGAAGTATCTGTACCTGAGTGTGTGACTTAATCATTTGTGTCTGGCTAGTTATTCACCTATAAACATCAATCTATGCACAGGGCTGGCCTGGGGATTTGCTGGACCCAAACTCTCCAAGAGGGTACATGTAGGGAGAGGCTGGTGGCAGTGATGGCGGGGGTTGGAAATCAGGCTGCAAGTTGCTATCTCACTGGTTCTATCATGGAAGGGAGAGATTGGGATTGAACAGTGAACCTCTTCCCATCATTGTCTCACTGGCAAAGGGGAAAGATTAGTTTGCATAAGTTGCTGAGCGAGTGCAGGATTGAGGTAGATCCACAAAAATCATGCACCAAGTGGTCACACTTATCTTGCTTGTGCCTAAGACTGGCTGTGCCTTTGGACCTTTGATCTGTGGTTTCTGTTTCTACAAAGCACTTTCATGGACTATACCTATAAAGCACTCATGGCTGAACATTATTACAGTCCAAGTTACAAAAGACACTTATACCGTCCATCTGCCCAAATTCCTTTCCTGAGTAGTTCCGTTTTCCATCATCACAAAGATGATATTTCAATAGGAACTGTAGAGCATGTGACAGCCCCATCCCTGACAGTGGGTGTCACTGGGAGTAAGGGAACAGAAGACTTGCATACCACTGAGGATGCCTAAAGGGTTAGCGAAATTAACGAACTCAGGTAAGTGAACTTTGGTGGGAGTGAACCATGCTCAGACAAATGATATTTCTCCCTCTCTCTGCATATTAGTATGGTCTCTTGGAGATGGAGCGCCAGAAGAACCAGAGAAGCTTGACAATTCCCAGCGATCCACTTTATTTATTGAAAAACCACAGGGTGGTTCAGTGAATGTTGGTAAGTGGCTAGAAACACATTAAGTATGAGGGGTCATACGATACAGATCAAGTCTGACAAGAGGTGCATTTCACATAAGATTTAAATTCTGCCCTCAGGCACATGCAACTCCCATTAACTTCAATGGGAATCACACACTCCTCTTTGAAGAACGAATTTGGCCTGTCTGTGAAGAGACTATTCAACTGGTTAATATCAAGACCAAATTTAGATCTAATAATTTAGTCAGGGTGAAAGCTGGAAGTTGTGCTCACTTGGATAGGACAGGTGATTGCCTGTACTGCTGTTAGCCGTACAACAGCTGACACAGTGGGAGAGTTTCAGAGATTGTTGTTCGTATGCTCTTACACTTTCTCAGTATTTAACTAGAAGAAAGGATTTTGTGGGAGTCTGTAGAGCATAAACAAAACTAGGGACTGGAGAAATAGGAACTAGACATGTCCCTCTCTGAAGCCCATCAATACTGCTCTTTCAGACAGCCATTTGGGGTTGCTATACAACCTCCCTGTCAAGTCTCCTTCTAACGGCATAGCTACACTGCATTGTAAACCTCGGTTCAGACTCAGATTTGAGTCCAAACCCCTCTACCATCCACACAAATCTTTCTATAAAAGAAACTTGTATAAATGTGACAGGCAACCACATTTTCAGTAATGACTGAATTTTTTTTCTTTTTTAAAGGAGAAAATATTACATTTATAGCCAAAGTAGAAGCCAAAGATCTTCTTCGAAAGCCAACTGTAAAGTGGTTCAAAGGTAAATGGATGGACCTGGCCAGTAAAGCAGGCAAACACCTTCAGCTGAAGGAGACATTTGAGCGTCATAGCAAGGTACACTTATATTTTTCTTTTTTAAAGAGACAAAACTTGAAGCCTTAAAAACCATTCTTAACCAGTCATTCATCTAAGGATGGAGGGCATTGTGGTTCAGGCATTGGATAGAGACTCAGGAGAACTGGGTTCAATTTCTGGCTGCACCACACATTTCCCTAGGATGTTGTGTCTGGTAAGGATCTGATGCATCATGTCCACTGGCATAAAACAGGAGCTCCTATGAGTAATAACTTTGAAAGGGGGTCTCCGAGTCACAGTTCCTGTCCAGAGTTTCTCCTGGGCAGCACAGCTCTGCATCACTCCTGACACAGGCGGAGAGAGTAAACTCTCCATCTAGGCCATAGCTTTTAACTTCCTCTTTGTACAAATGTATCCTAAATTAAAATTATTATACTTTGCATTTGAATTTCAGGTTTATACATTTGAGATGCAAATCATTAAAGCTAAGGAAAACTACGGAGGGAACTACCGCTGTGAAGTAACATATAAGGATAAGTTCGATAGCTGTTCTTTCGATCTTGAAGTCCACGGTAAGATTTGCCTTTTATAGATTTATAAATTTATAAATAAAGTCCATTTATAGATTTCCCCCCCTTTACAACAAATATGGTATAACTGTATTCTCAAGGCCACAGTGAAGGAAGTTTTAATGTTAACTTTTTGAACACAATGCCTCCTGAGCAACTGTGATTTCTTTTTGGAATGAAATATATGATAGAGGGGGGTGGCTGGCAAGCATGGGTTTGAGCCAGAGCCCACGGAGGTCAATAGAAAGACTTCTATTGAATTTAGATCAGGCCTCTCCTAAACAAAAAGAATGCCTGTCATAAATCTGTCAAGAGATACCACATGAGAGAGATTATGTATGCAGTTACATCCAAGAGAGGTTCTGATATGGAATGGTTCTGAATCCCCAACTGTGCAGAGAGAGTGTAAAATGGTACCCAGTCAGTGATAGCATTATACATCTACTTTGCCCAGGTATAAATGACTGCATAATGTAGTGGAGACTCAGGGCCAAATTATTTGTCAACTTATGCATGATAAAGACCCTCTTACACACATGCTTAACTTTACTCATGGGACTTCTCACATGAACAAAGTTTAGCACATGCATATTTGCAGAGCTAAAGAGAGATAGGAAGCAATGAGCAAACAAGAGCGAACAATCTTGTCTGCCGCATAAAGGCTACTGTTCAAATCTTAAAACCTGCAAACGTTCACCTGATTCTGTAATTTCAGCTGGTAGGCAGATCCAGTCTAGCTTCCCAAATACCCAGAGGGCAGCAACATTCCAAGCAGCCTAGTCAAGTATTTGTTCATCCTAGCAAAACAAGCCTACCAAATTACCAAGGTCATCAGCTTGGTCATCAGCCAGGGATTGCTAATTGACAGAGACAGGCCTAGGAATCTGTGTGTATTCATTAGGCTGCTAGGTGAAGGACTCATCTATCCGCATCTATAAACTTTCTATAGGACAGAGTTGTTTCATCTATTCAGATGTCTAATTCATGCAGGGGGAAATTCATCCTTGTGCCAAGGCCCAGTACAGAGGTCTATCCATCAGTTATATCGCACATAAACTCTCCAAATAGGGTTTATGTGGTGCAGAGATCCTGTACTGGCCCTTGATACAGGGATGAATTTCCCCCAGAATCTTCCACTCTCCATCAGACCAAGCTCTTGTATCTTTCTTGCTGACCACACAGCGGGAGAAAGACAAAGTCTATTCTGGGTGGCAAAAAACAACTGATGATGATTTGGGCCCCCAATAAGATTATGCAGGACTTCTTTTTTCCTGTAAAGTGTTGGGCAGGAGGGAATTTACTTTGAAAACTGGAAGATGTCCGTGAGAGAGAAAAAAAGTGAGAGAGACGCAGGATGTGTGGGGTCAGGAGGGAATGTGAGAGAAACATCACACAGTTTAATCTTGTATACAGAAATGTATAATGTAGTTTAGAGAAATGTACTAAGAAAGATTACCTCTGCACTGATGATTTTTACCAAGGTAAAAATATTTCTTTAACTTTTTTTTCTTTCATAGAATCTTCTCAGGCTGCTCCATCTATTGACATCCGATCTGCTTTCAAAAGAAGGTAACTTTGACTGGTGATCCTGTGAAGTTACTCAATAATGGACACATATAGCATACAATCACTTCATACCATCTCTCCTAGCCAAGCATATCAAGTGTTATAAAAAGGTGGTGTTGCAAATAAGGATGAAAAAAGTAGGATGTAAGATAATTGAAAGTGGGTGGGATGAAGTAGCCTTACATCAGAAACTGCATATACAGTATAATAGACTTTAAAATGAGAGTTGAGTGTAATTGCTATAACGGGAAGTGTTGATGGAGTCAGATAATCATACAGCAAGCACAGCAAAGGCTAAATAAAGTTATAGGATTGCATTTATGAAATTCCATTTTTAAGAGATAAAAGCTTATATATCATTTCCTTTAAGTAACTCCAGAGTAGAGCTGGGAAAATAATTGATTTTGGTTCACTGGCAGATTAAAAACAAAAAGAAAAAAAATTTTTGGTCCGGGTCAAACTAAATCAAAACATTCCCCCAAATTTAGGTGAATTAAAGAAGTCTGTTTTGGTTCAAACAAAATATGCCATTCAACCTGAAATGTTTTGTTTCTAGGCATTTCAAAAGAGCTAGAGTCACATAATAACCAGATGAAGGAGGAGGAGATGGAGGTGCCCCTTTTACTAATTAGCCCAGTGATTTACAGGTACTTGGGATGTGGGAGACATGGATTCAGTTTCCTCCTCTGTCAGATGTAGAGCAGGGTTTTGAACTTGTGTCTCCCACATCCCAGGTGAGTACCACCATCATCTTCTCTACCCTCAGCCATTTTGTGAATCTAGCCAAAAAATTTTCTGGCTGAAACTATTCAGTGAATTCATGTCACATTCACAAATTGTTTCAGGTTGACCAGAACGGTATTTTTAGGTGAATAAACTATTCATCTGAAAATTTCACCTAGCTCTACTCTAGAGTTAAATAACCACACCAATTACTAACATTTATGTAGCAATTAGTTTGTGAAGATTCCAAAGACTCTGTCTTTTTGCAAGCAGTGCCTTTAAACATCATATACTAACACTACACAGTAGTTCAGGGCAGAAAATGAAAAATGTGTATTACCCACCCACCTTGTTTCTCTCATTCATTTAAAAATAGACAGGAACTTTAGATAGGCAGAAAATAATTACACAAGTGGGATTTAGCCAGCACATTGCAAAAGAAGGTTTTAGCAGACGGCGGATAGATAACATCAGAGACAGAAAACATCCCAACTTTTAAAAATTGATATTGACACTTAAGATCATTACTTCATAAGACAAAATTTGTGTTTTAAACTCTTTTATGTGTGTTTCCCAATACATTTTCCATCTTATTTGTAAGATGCCATTAAATATTATCTATTTCTTTACAATAATTTTTAAAATTTTATTTTGTGATTCATTAAAATATCCTACTATATGCTCCCTGATAGTAATCATCTATGATGTGAAAGTTACTGTGGCCCCAGTCCTGCACTCATTGAAATCAATGGCAAAATTCCAGTTGACTTCAATGTGATAGGATTATTTTCTGATAAAAAGAAAAATGCATGCCAAATTTATCTTGATAATAACATTGAAATATATGCATTCCAGAAGTCTTAGTATACAGCATTATATCCTAAACCTTCTCTCAGATTATTGGAATTTTGAGATAAACTAGCCATTAAAACCACTGTTATGATATAGTCTTTACACTTTCTAAATCTGCACACATTTTTCTTACCAGAACAGAAATAAAAATATTGGGAACACAGTCTGTGGACAGAAAACCAGTGTCATTTGTTAACTTAAAGAAATAAGCAAACAACCTTTATAATTGTGCTTAAGTAGTAACTTTTATTAAATGATGCGCTATTGAGATAAATTCACTCTCAGAAGGATATTAATTTCAAGGTTAATTCTTTCCTAGGGGTGCATTTTTGCACATTGTACTATGACTCAACAGCAACCACAATGCGAACAGAAAAAAAAATACTTCTGAAAACTTTTAAGGGAAAACTGTATGCAAATTCTAAGGTGAAATCCAAGTGCCATTGAATTAACTGCCATTGACTTCAATAGTGCCAGGATTTCGCCCCTAATGTTTACTGTCATCACCCCAACAATAGAGCATTTTCTTCTATGTACTGTATATTGTAATAAAATTTTCTTGTGTTAAGAAGACCTTCTAGAAGGGACTGCATCTTTAAAAAGGCTACAATCACATTTTAAAAGTGTACAAAGTATTTTTTCTTTTTTTCTGTCTGACTTCTCCCTTTGCTGACACACAGAGGTTAAACTTAAGTGTAATGCTTTGCTAGCTGGTATCTGACACAGCTATGCATTGTTAAATGCAGCACACTCAACAATGCAAATCTTTGTTTTATATTTATAACAGAGATCAGCACAAGCCCTTTGTTTTTTACACATACATATTACTCAAACCCAAAAACAAAGCCCTTTGTGTTGATTGGCTTAAGTGAATTTGTGTTCTAAAATATAACACAAATCTTAGCAAATTAATGTATGCAATCTACAAAAATTTGCCTTAAAAGTATAACAGCAAGCAATACAAACCTTTGTGTTTATTTTTCACAAGTGCTTGTTATGGAACCATAACTTGTGTGGAAACGAATACAAGTTTGTGTTGATTTTATACCATTATTTGTGTGCCTAGACAGTATTGCATATACAGGACATCTAGAGTGTTTGCAATGTGTGTTGTCCAAGTCCCTCTGTATTAAACAAAGATTTGATCTTTTTTTTATTAACAACAGCGGTGAAGGACAAGAGGATGCAGGAGAACTTGACTTTAGTGGTCTCCTGAAACGTAGGTGAGAACCAAGTGATGAAGTGAGCAGGTGTGGATTGGAAACCATTAGGTTCATACACAGAAAGAGTCAGGTTTAGCATTAATCATTTCTCAAGAATTTTATTATCTTACTTTCTTCTGATATTCCTAACCTTTTATTATTTGAGTCTGAAATGCAAAAGTTCAACTAATCATATCATGTAAACATAGTAGGCAGGAAAGAAGCCTCAGATTTGAGTGGTGTCAAAGATTTTAGGTTGTGGTGCACTTTCTTAATGGAACAAATCAATAGTATTAAGTCTACATGCTATTTCTTTGTGTTTGCATGGAGTTTTTTTCCTATGCAGGGATGAGCAGGTTGGAAAATTGAGTCTGGTGGGAAAGTAAGAAACTATAGGGGTTAAGCTGGCCCTTTTGGGCACACTTTAAATTAACTTTAGCAAATATCCTCAGACTGGAAATTACATACAATACTTTCAAAATGTAGGCATTTCTGTTATTTCCAAGGGGTTTTCTAGTTCAAGATGTGCAAATCAGGGAAGAAGGATTTTTTTTTAGATGATCACTGACTCTTCTGCTCTTTCCTTCTCCATGCCCCAGCTAGAGAATGCAGTAAACTTATTATTTATTCAGAATTATGTGCTCTTTCATCATCTGACCAAAGAGCAACAAGCAGGTTGTTCAAAGAACAGGCAGGTATATTATTGAGACAGTGAGGTCCTAAGGAAAACTTGATAGCCTCTTACAAAAATGAGGGAAAATTAGCTTTCAGATGATATGCAGCATGACTTTGCAGTTCTAATACCCAAAAAGGAGCTAACATCAAACTGTTCGTACATGCACACCAAACCTTTAGGTATATGAACAACAAGTGTTCAATGTTAATTTGATTTTCCTTCACGAGATGGCAGCTAAAAATATTAGGCATCTGCTCCTCAAGACCCCATTTAAAGTTTGGATGCTAATAGGACAGTCCCATCCCTCCAGGTTTCTAGACCTTGGATCCAGTTTTGCCCTTGGATATAGTATAGTGCAACTTCCATTGATGTCAATGAGAGATGTCAATGAGAGGAGAGCATAGAATCATAGGACTGGAAGGGACCTCAAGAGGTCATCTAGTCCAGTCCCTTGCACTCATGGCAGGACTAAGTATTATCTAGACCGTCCCTGACAGGTGTTTGTCTAACCTGCTCTTAAAATCTCCAATGATGGAGATTCCACAACCTCTCTAGGCAATTTATTCCAGTGCTTAACCACCCTGACAGATAGGAAGTTTTTCCTAATTTCCAACCTAAAACTGCCTTGCTGCAATTTAAGCCCATTGCTTCTTGTCCTATCCTCAGAGGTTAAGAAGAACAATTTATCTCCTTCCTCCTTGTAACATTTACGTACTTGAAAACTGTCATCATGTCCCTCTTAGTCTTCTCTTCTCCAGACTAAACAAAATCAATTTTTTCAATCTTCGCTCTTAGGTCATGTTTTCTAGACCTTTAATAATCTTTTATTGCTCTTCTGTGGACTTTCTCCAATTTGTCCACATCTTTTCCGAAATGTGGTGCCCAGAACTGGACACCTCCAGTTGAGGTGTAATCAGCACAGAATAGAGTGGAAGAATAACTTCTTGTGTCTTGCTTACAACACTCCTGCTAATACATCCCAGAATTATGTTTGCTTTTTTTTTTTTTTGCAACAGCATTACACTGTTGACTCATATTTAGCTTGTGATCCACTATGACCCCAGATCCCTTCCCACAGTACTCCTTTCTCATTTTGTACGTGTGCAACTGATTGTTCCTTCCTAAATGGAGTACTTTGAATTTCATCCTATTTATCTCGGACCATTTCTCCAGTTTGTCCAGATCATTTTGAATTTTAATCCTATCCTCCAAAGCACTTGCAACCCCTCCCAACTTGGTATCATCCGCAAACTTTATAAGTGTACTCTCTACGCCATTATCTAAATAATTGATGAAGATATTGAACAGAACCGGACCCAGAACTGATCCCTGCGGGACCCCATTCATTATGCCCTTCCAGCATGTCTGTAAACCACTGATAACTACTCTTTGGGAACGGTTTTCCAACCAGTTATGCACCCACCTTATAGTAGCTCCATGTAGGTTGCATTTCCCTAGTTTGTTTATGAGAAGGTCATGCAAGACAGTATCAAAAGCTTTACTGAAGACCAGATATACCACGTCTACCACTTCCTCACAAGACTTGTTACCCTGTCCAAGAAAGCTATCAGGTTGGTTTGACATGATTTGTTCTTGACAAATCCATGCTGACTGTTACTTATCACCTTATTATCTTCTAGATCTTTGCAAATTGATTGCTTTATTATTTGCTCCATTATTTTTACCGGTACAGAAGTTAAGCTGACTGATCTGTAATTCCCTGGGTTGTCCTTATTTTCTTCTTTATAGATTGGCACTATATTTGCCCTTTTCCAGTCTTCTGGAATCTCTCCCGTCTTCCATGACTTTTCAAAGATAATCACTAATGGCTCAGATATCTCCTCAGTCAGCTCCTTGAGTATTATAGGATGCATTTCATCCTATGATGACTTAAAGACATCTAATTTGTCTCAGTCATTTTAAACTTGTTCTTTTCCTATTTCAGTCTCTGATCCTACCTCATTTTCACTGACATTCACTCTATTAGATGTCCAGTCACAACCAACCTTCTTGGTGAAAACTGAAACAAAGAAGTCATTAAGCACCTCTGCCATTTCCACATTTTCTGTTATTATTCCCACCTCCACATTGAGTAATGGGCCTACCCTGTCCTTGGTCTTCCTCTTGCATCTAATGTATTTGTAGAATGTTTTCTTGTTACCCTTTATTTCCCTAGCTAGTTAGATCTTGTTTTGTGCCTTGGCCTTTCTAATTTTGTCCCTGCATACTTGTGTTATTTGTTTGTATTCATCCTTTGTAATTTGACCTAGTTTCCACTTTTTGTAGGACTCTTTTTTGATTTTTAGATCATTGAAGATATCCTGGTTAAGCCATACTTCCTATCTTTCCTACACTGTGGGATGCATAATTTCCTACACATGCATAATTGAAGGGAGAATTTTCTTTAATCTCTGCTAGCACTCACCTCTGACTAAGAAAAAAACACATGCCATTAAATACATTAAAGATTGTGACGGTCTTAGATAGTATGATAACAGGGGCCATATAAATAACTTAGATATCTGAATAGCTAAACTTTGTCCTACAAGAAAAATAAAAATACACAATAAAACCAAGAGCAGTTTCCAGCTTAACCAGTGGCAGAGCTTCCATGGGACCAACTTTCAGTGTATAGTAGAAGCAGGATGTGGAAGAATTGTTTGAATTGATTCATATCCACCAGGTCTCCATTTTTTATCCTCTCTTCATTCCTAACTAGGAACTTCAATTTGATGTGTGTTCATTTAACTATCCTACTGAAACAACAAGTAACATGACCATTCTGATTGACTGTCTTGGGGTACTAATATATGGATTGCATATGGGGAGGCTTCATTGTTTTTGTGGTAATGTGAAATTGTGACTATCACGTCACTAACATAAATAATTCATTGTTTTATATGATAAAAATATATATTAATAGAAACAGTATAACTCTTGTGTGGTTAATGGGGAAACCAAACCAACCTGTTTTTAAACAGAATAAATTTTATATTGATAAGACCAGTATTTTGCCTCCACATTTAAGCTTCTGAAATTCAATATATATTTTAACAAAAGTCTAAATGCATAGAGTCTTAATGCTGCTTTTAAAAATTATTTTGTGACACTCTCATAGGAAGTCAAACCAGTAAGCCATCTTAATGACATACTGTGTGAGGTGGTATGTCTCATCATAGCAATGGGTCAATAATGCCACGAAATTCCAAAAGGCGCCAGATCTCGAAGAGATTCAAACATTTATATTTTTTTTATAATACATTTTTCAACAAAATGCACATCTCTCGGGTGGGGGAAATTGGATGAGATTGTGGTCTAGATAATTTACAATGGATCTGCCTGGAAAGTAATAAATGTTGTTTGCCCACTATCCACAGGTACAAATATTATAGTCTCAAAACAGAGTGTGGTTGTTCAAAGTGTCAAAATTTGTTCTTAGTTATGCAAGGTGAATAGAGAGGCTGGAATAATTGTTTAATTATTTGAAAATCTGGACATGCTCATCCTAATTGTCAACCACTGCCTGATTTTAACGGGGCACATTATCATCTCAGTTCATGTGGATGTGTGTGTGTAACTCTCATTAGCATTGATAGGAGTTGCACAGCTAATGGCCAGCGCAATGAGATGAGAATTCTATCCCTTAGCGCGTGTCAGCTTTTACATATGTTTGCAAGCTGGGTTTGACCTGACCTCATGCAGGAGGAATCTCATTGAAACACGACTGTTTTCAGTAAGTAGTCAGCCTCCATAAATCATAAGCACAAAACTAAAATTTAAGATATAAAATACCGTGCAATGCCAGTCTTTATATTATCTTATGAGTAATACTACCCACCATGAACATTTTGAACCATCTTTAGTTATTTCTTAAAAATACCACTGAACTACTATAAAAGCTTTAGAAACTAACAAATTTATTTGACCATAAGCTTTCGTGAACTAAAGCTCACTTCATTGGATGCATCTGATGAAGTGAGCTGTAGCTCACGAAAGCTTATGCTCAAATAAATTTGTTAGTCTCTAAGGTGCCACAAGTACTCCTTTTCTTTTTGCGAATACAGACTAACACGGCTGCTACTCTGAAACCTATAAAAGCTTGTAAACTTTCTGGATTATATAACGGTATAGTACTGTTCCCTAGTCACTGGCCCAACCCTGCTAGACTTCTCAGAGATCCCATGATTTCTCTATACCATAAGGCAATAAAGGCTGAAGTTTCTTTTATTTTTCCATACATTTGTGTTCTTGCTCTGTTGCCAAAAGTGCTGATTCCACCAGAACCTGTCAAATTTTATCAGCCAGGATTGGTCTCAGCCAGGATGTGCTTCTGGAAAAGAAGGGT